GACATTTGGTCTGCTAATATCTCAAAACTAGCAGTAGTGTTTTGCACTAATGGATTTAGGACTGTAGTCAATTATTGTGATAACATGTTCACCATTTCAAAATTACTCTCATCCATTTGCTGTCTAAGTACCCCTAATGAATTACTAGATATTCCGGTACCCATATTTTCGATAGAATCAAAATTAGATCGATGATAGTCTCTATCGAATACATGTCTCCCATGATCTAAGTATCCACTCTGATCTAGATTTGGAGGTATCTGTTGTGTGCCTACATTCTGTCCATTCCCTGAATTCTGGGGAATTACTAAATTTTGCGACGTCCCTAAATTCGGAGGGATTCCAAAATTTTGTGGCATACCTAGTGTTTGGGACATTCCTAAGTTATATCTCGAATTCCTATGCGTTGAAGAAGTTCCAACCCCACTCATATTATTAAGTGAAAACCCGGGCGGTCTTACACTCATACGTGACCCTACATATGTGGTTGTGGGATTTCCTATAGTTTGCATATTATTTGGTATCACCGTACTAGATCCTACTTGGGTGTTTGCTACTGTACCTGAATTTTGTTCACCACTCACAGGTATCGACATGCTCACAGTTGTCGATACTACATGTATGTTCTCATTATGACTTTGCCCCCCAGTATTTGGTGGGTGTGATCCATTTAATCCCTCACTGTTACCCTGGTTATTCGATGAACTCTGACTCATGACCCTCCCACTCCTTAATCTCATACAGTTTCGAACTAACCAATTTTGTGTTTCTCAACACAAGACAGCCCCTACCTGGCGCGCCAATTTGTTTCTGGTGGAATTTCGATCGATTTCGATTCTAAGGGTATTTTGGTCTTTAATCGAAATCCTCCCACGTAAGTTCTTTTTACTTAGGCTAGCAGTCTGACTTTCAATCGAAAATGTGTATGAGGATCGAAAATCATAAGATATCAAGAAAACTGTTTTTGGTGTTTTGTATTTAAAGTATCGAAAGCATTAAAATTATCGAATCGAAAAAGCAGAATGTTAAATTGCGAGGAAATGTAAAGTGCGAAAACCCCAAACTTGCATTAATTGTAAATAGCAAGAAATCGAAAACAACGCAAATATAAATGACAAGAAATCGAGATTGCAAGAAAAGTAAATGACAGGAAATTGAGATTTGCAGAATGTTAAATTGCGAGGAAATGTAAAGTGCGAAAACCCCAAACTTGCATTAATTGTAAATAGCAAGAAATCGAAAACAACGCAAATATAAATGACAAGAAATTGAGATTGCAAGAAAAGTAAATGACGGAAATTGAGATTTGCGAGAATGTTAAATAACATGGACATCTAAATGCGTAAACTCAAATTTTCATTGAATTGAAATGGACAAGGAATTGAGAATACAGAAACATAAAATTGCTGAATTTAAGTTGCATCAAAATAAATTACCAAGGAAAATACAGAAAGCGGTAAATGTACTCAGTGAGCAAGGAAATCCAGATTGCCAGAAGCTTCATGGTGTTCGTCGTTTCTCCGGTAGACTTTTCACTACTGATCCTGTTTTCTGCCAATTTCTGCTCTCCCTTTTCCTTCCTCTTTTGCTCTATTTATAGGGTATCCTTCAAGCCTTCCAAGAGCAGTTAACACGACTGCTACCACGTTCTACGTGCGTATGGCCGTTTATCTTCTATAGTTTCCCACGTTCTTCACGATCTCCGACTTTTTTCCATGATTTCAAAACTGCTCTTTATACGTGCATTCAACTTACTTCCTTTCACGATTTGGCCAAAGTCTCGATGTCCACATTGGCTTTCTTTACTCTCGATTCTGTATTTTTCGAGAACTTCGAATTGCTTACGATTCCTTTTTAACCCTGGTCTTACATGACTTAGTTTTTATTCGACAACAGTCATTTGATTATTATTCGTTCGATTCTCGATTGTGCTTCTCGATGCTATATGCCATGTATTTCTAATTAGACATCGAATGAATTTTTGTTTATCTTATCGAGTCACATTTCTTTCCTTCGATTTCGATCGCTTTTCTCGATTTGCCACTAACAATATGATAGCGGTTTCACGTTAATCACTATCTAAAGTCTCAATTATTTTAAAAAGTGATCGATCATTTAGAAGAGTAATCGATCATTTGAAAAATTATATATTGTAAAATATAATTTTTTAATTTCTATAATATATATATAAATGAAAATAAGTTATATTTGCAATATATATTTTATATTATAGTAATTAATATAAATTATATTTTTGAATATATATATATATATAAATTATATATTCTAAAATATAATTTATTTTAATTTCTATAATATATATAAATGAAAATAAGTTATATTTGCAATATATATTTTATATTATAGTAATTAATATAAATTATATTTTAGAATATATATATATATATATATATATATATATAATTTTACATAAAAATATACTGTTAATAAATGAGACTTTAGATAGCGGTTAACGTGGAACCGCTATCTAAAGTCTCAATTATTTGAAAAAGTGATCGATCATTTGGAAGAGTAATCGATCATTTGAAAAATTATATATTGTAAAATATAATTATTTTAATTTCTATAATATATATATATATATATATATATATATATGAAAATAAGTTATATTTGCAATATATAATTTATATTATAGTAATTAATATAAATTATATTTTAGAATATATATATATATATATATATATATATATATATAAATTATATATTCTAAAATATAATTTATTTTAATTTCTATAATATATATAAATGAAAATAAGTTATATTTGCAATATATATTTTATATTATAGTAATTAATATAAATTATATTTTAGAATATATATATATATATATATATGTATATATATATATATATATAATTTTACATAAAAATATACTGTTAATAAATGAGACTTTAGATAGCGGTTAACGTGGAACCGTTATCATAAGTTCACTTTTAAGAGTGGTTAACATCTTAGCCGCTCTTAAAAGTGAATATATGATAGCGATTACGCGTTAACCGCTATCTAAAGTCTCGATTATTTGAAAAAGTGATCGATCATTTGGAAAAGTAATCGATCATTTAAAAAATTATATATTGTAAAATATAATTATTTTAATTTCTATAATATATATATATATATAAATGAAAATAAGTTATATTTGAAATATATATTTTATATTATAGTAATTAATATAAATTATATTTTAGAATATATATATATATATATATATATATATATATAAATTATATATTGTAAAATATAATTATTTTAATTTCTATAATATCTATATATATATAAATGAAAATAAGTTATATTTGCAATATATATTTTATATTATAGTAATTAATATAAATTATATTTTAGAATATATATATATATATATATATAAATTATATATTCTAAAATATAATTTATTTTAATTTCTATAATATATATATAAATGAAAATAAGTTATATTTGCAATATATGTTTTATATTATAGTAATTAATATAAATTATATTTTAGAATATATATATATATATATATATATATATATATAATTTTACATAAAAATATACTTGTTAATAAATGAGACTTTAGATAGCGGTTAACGTGGAACCGTTATCTAAAGTCTCAATTATTTGAAAAAGTGATCGATCATTTGGAAGACTAATCGATCATTTGAAAAATTATATATTGTAAAATATAATTATTTTAATTTTTATAATATATATATAAATGAAAATAAGTTATATTTGCAATATATATTTTATATTATAGTAATTAATATAAATTATATTTTAGAATATATATATATATAATTTTACATAAAAATATCATGTTAATAAATGAGACTTTAGATAAGCGGTTATTATTTTATTTTCATTGTATTTTATATTTATTTAAAATAATAATTTACAATTTTATTATTAGTTTTCATAATTATTTGTTATTATTAGTCAATATTAATTATTATTTTATATTTTATAATTATTTAATTATTAGTCAAATAATTTATTGAATATGTCAAAAGTAATTTTTTATGGATATGCAATGTACATAATTTTGTAATTATTTATTTATATAATTTTTAATAACTATTTTAAAAAAAGTTAATTTTTTAAATTTGTTTCCAATTACAAACACTTTTAAATTTGTTTTTTCTTTCAAATATATAATCAATGTTAAAACATGGATAATTAATTAAAAATTATATTTATAATAATTTGAACCTTATTTTATACACAAGAGTAAAATAATAATTTTCTTAAATAATTAATTAAAATTATAATTTTTATATCTCATATAAATCAAATCATTCACAATTTTCTATAAACTTTTCTTTCATTTTCCATTCATCCAAACAACTTTAATTTCACCTCCATTTTTCATCAAATTTCTCCTTTTTCACACTCCCATTTCAACTCTCTCAAATCACTCCAACAAAAAAAAAAGCCTGAGTATGATTTCTTGTGGCAAGTTGACCTTTTCAACTCAATTATACACAACATGAACTAAAACAACATAAACTATCATAACTCAAATTATTAGATGCGATTAACTTTTTCCAACATTTCCGTCCACAAGAGGAATAAAGACCTTGGCAGAGCATTCGCTGTTTGCATAAGCCTCTTACCAAAAGTGTACGAACAAAAATTATACGGTCACTCCTAGACATGGAAAAGTAAAAAGCTGTCTGTCCGAAACATTAAGTACGACACCAAAACAAACAAAGAAAGTAGAATATGAAAGAAGAGTAATTGAGCAACCATTTTCAAAGGTGGGGGGGGGTCCAAAACGGAACCCGGTGAAAAGGAATCCGGCATCCTAGGTGTAGTAGCATAACATAGAGAAATCTTAAGACAAACAACTAGAGACTAAAAAGGAAAAATTACAATGGAAAGTGAACATTTTGAAACAAATAATTTCTCTCTCTTTAATAAATAAAACCGGATTCTTCTTCCCCGGACAACCCCATTGTCTATGTTCCTAGTAAAGATAATGGCAAGTTAATTCATCCCAATTCTTCTTGTCCCTCAGAGGGACATCTTATCAGCTCCAATATGTTAACAACCTCTCCCATGTCAGGTCTGTTTGAAGGCACTTGAGAAGTACATATTAAGCCCAGCTTCATCACAGGAATGGCTTCTTCTGCTGGGAACTTCCCTTGGAGCCTCTCATCAATGCATTCCTCCACCCTGCCTTCTTCCAATGCCCCTCTCACCATGTCACAAAGTACCACCACATCATCCTCCATGTATTCAACAGGCCTCTTCCCCGTAACGATCTCCAGAACCAGGATACCGAACCCATATACATCACATTTCTCAGTGATTTTCACCGTTTTGCAGGCAAACTCTGGTGCCATGTAGCCGAGTGCACTCTGAATTTTGCTGCTCAAGACGTATCTGTCAAGCATTGGTAACAGTCTTGCTAGGCCAAAGTCCCCTATCTTTGGTTCACCATAAGTGTCAAGAAGGACATTGGTTGACTTAATGTTATAGTGAATAATGTTGGAATGGTGCAAGTGTGCCAAGGCCTTGGCCGTTCCGAGAATTACATTAAATCTCTCATTCCATGAGAGGAAGTTTCCACCAGATCCTTCATGGAGATGCTTATACAAACTACCACCAGATACATACTCATATATGAGAAGCTGCAAAGACGGAGTCCAATAATAACCCTCGAGTTCCACGAGGTTTTGGTGTCTGATTTTTCCCAATTTTTTCACTTCTCTTTCAAAATCTTCTTGAGACTTGACAAGGCTTGATACAGTGAGCTTCTTTATTGCAACTGAATGCCCATCTCTAAGAACCGTTTGGTACACTGCTCCAAATCCTCCACGGCCAAGCTCACAGTCCTTATTAAGCAAAGCATGCGCACCGGAACTGAAATCAGGCTCACCCGAAAACATGACAAGCTTGCCAGAGTTGGCATCTGTAGTCGGGGATCTGCTGAATTCATCTCCTGCAGAAAATGTGAGGGCAGCTGCATCTCGAGATGTGGAGGTGCGAACACGGAGATTGAGAACAGTGATGCTAATAACACCAATTACAATGACAGCAGCTGCACCAATGGCAATGAGTGCCGAAATGCTGAGAATGATTCTTTTGTGACCCAAATTTTGTGGCATTGCACCCGGGCCAGTATCAGTAGAAGTGTTGGGATTTAGAACAATAGGCTTTGGGAGGACAGCAGGGCATGATTTGTTTACTGCAGCGCCACAAAGTGATGGATTGCCAGAAACAGAGCTGGGCGAAATGGTGTTGAAAAAAACACCTGCCGGCAGTTCACCCTGAAGGTTGTTGTGAGATAAATTGAAGGAAAGAAGATTGGCAAGGTTGGCCAATTGCTTAGGAAGGTTTCCAGTAAGGTTATTATAAGATAAGTCCACATTTTGCAGGTTGGTAAGTTTTGCAACTGCTGTGGGTATAGGGCCACTAAGCCAGTTCTGCGATAGAATCCTACAGAATGCACCCAAAGAGAAAGGGGTAAAGAAAACGAAGCAAAAGCAGGGATGTCAGAACACTTGACATAAATAAAAAAAGGAGCAGTTGGATCTCATCTTTCTGAATGATTTTTAAAAAATTTAACTCAAGGACTAGAAAACCTACATAATAGCTCCTATTGTTATCAAGAAAAAAACAACAACGCATGAAAGCGCAAAGCCATACAATAGTAACAGATACTTATGTGCTTAGAAAAAAATAATAAATCATTAATGTCACAGTCATCACCACCCATTCCCCAAGATGAATTATTGACATATTTTCTTCAACCTTTTTGCCTTTTCTATTTTGTAGGGTATACAAAATTTTAGAAGTACGAATGAACTTAACCATGCTGCTACTAAATGCATCAATATTGCATTGTGCAAAATTAAGCCAAAATACCAAAAACTCCATGCCAGATTAAACCGAAGCCAAGACTTCAGTTTAAATGAATTAAAGTGTATATTAAAGTTAGATACGCAACTTTCACCAAATATTTAGCATGCGGCTAATTCCGTCTGATGAAAGCTTAAAATTATGAGTGCAACACTTACACACCTACTGTAAATACAAGTACTCGTATGAAAGGCCAAAAATGAAAGATGGGACAGGGAAAAGGAACTTACAGAGTGGTTAGCAAAGAGCAGTTCTCAATGGAGGCTGGAATTTTCCCAATTAGGAAGTTCTTTTTCAGTACCAGTTCTTTCAAGGACACGGCTCCTCCTATTTGCCACGGTATGCTTCCATTTAGCTTATTATAGCTCAAATCAAGACTAGAACATGTTTTCAACTCACCAATTGCAGCTGGTATTGGACCTCTAAGAGAGTTATTAGCTAAATTCAAAACATGCAAGCTGCTTAAACCTCCAATAGCGGATGTGATTTCACCAGAAAATGCATTGTGAGACAAATCCAAAACTTGAAGACTTTGAACTGCAACTTCAGCCAAGGAAAACAAAGGGCTTTTCTTGCTACCACTGGCTCCATTTTCCGACACCAAAACCTTGTCCAAATCCGACTTGAAAATCCACAATGGGAGCCATCCAGACATCGAATTTCGGCTGACATCCAACACCAAAAGTTTCGTGCAATTAGCCATAGACTCAGGAAGACTACCAGTGAAACCATTCCCAGAAAAATTCAACATCTTCAATGACTGAAGATTTCCAACAGAGTTTGGCACCTGACCAGTAAGCCCATTGTTAGAAAGGTCCAACGTCTCAAGACCTCTCATCTCCCCAATCCATTCAGGAACCCCTCCAGAGAAAGCATTCCCTCGCAAACTAAGGTAACCACACAATGTCAGTTCCCTGAAATCACCAGGAATACTCCCAGAAAATGAATTATCCCCCAAATCAATGGACCTCAAAAGTGAACAGCTCCCAAACCCACCAGGAACACTTCCAGTCAATCGATTCTTTGCCAAGCTAAGACTCCTTAAATTCTTCATTGCCTCAACCCCCTTAGGAATCTCTCCCTCCAACAAGTTCTCAGACAAATCTAGGGACCTAAGAGCACTCAAAGACCAAACGCCGGAGGGAACAGAACCAGAAAACTGGTTATTGGAAAGGTCAATAGAAGCAAGAGCAGAACAACCCCCCAGAGTAGAGGGAATAGACCCAGAAAATCTGTTCCTAGCCAAGGAAACAGCCCGGAGAGACCCACATTGTCGGAAAACATCATCAGAGACCTCCCCTGAGAGACTATTGCCACTCAAGTCAATGACCCTAAGGCTATCTATTCGAGCAATGTTGGGGTTTATCCCCCCAGTGAGGTTGTTGTTTGCCAGAGAAAGCTTCCTCAGAAACTGCAACCTTTGCAACCCTCGACCTATTCTCCCAGAGAGAGAGAACCCGTCAAGGTTAACCTCCACTACTCTGTTGGATCTAGGGTTGCACTTCACCCCAACCCAACCACCACCACCACACGCACTCTCATCGTCCTCGCTCCAAGACGCAAGCTTCCCCTTCGGATCTCGTATGTCAGACTTGAACACAATCAAACCCAAAACGTCATCGTTCAGAGAGGGGTTCACCGCCGTCACCGCCACACAAACCAGCTCCAACAACCACACAACAAGAAGAAAACCTCTCATGTTTGGAAATAACACTCGCATTTTAGAACCCTAAACACCCATTTAAAATTGAGTTGGGGAAAACAAGCAAATAGGATCAAAGTCTTGGAATTTGGATAAGAAAAGCAAAACTCAACTTCAGATTAAGCTCTAGCCAAAACCAAAAAAAGAAAAATAACTTTTTTTTTTAATTTTGGTAACGGCTAGGCTAGATTTGAGAGTGAGGAAGAAAAAAATGAACAGTGCGGAGCAGGACAATGAAATTGTAAGTGGGGAAATTCAAGGAATGTAACGGAAAGAAAAAAAAAGGTAACTGAAATAAGGGTCACTGAAGGTGAAGAGTGCACACCAAACCCTAAACCCCACCTCGCAAGCAAGGTACTTTTTCCCTCTGGCGGAACTTCAAAGTGAAACAAAGCAGAAAAGATGAAAACTCAGTAGGAGAGTGTTGTAGAAGACTCGATCCAGAAACTGCAAAATGCCGAAATGGAGTATATTGACTTTACCAGAAGTGTAACAAATCCGACACGGAAAACAGATTTTCCGGCGAGTATGACAGGAAGTTCCTCGCCGGCCTCAAAGTAACGTCTCTCTCTCACTGTTTCTCTCTCTGTGCAGCCTCTCTCTGGTTCCACACTGAAGGAGTAATATTCAGTTTTTATTAACGGCAAAAGGGTCCCTTGGTAGATAGGGAAATAAATTAGGAGAAGGCCACGTAGCGTATCATGCCGAGGTTCTGGTCCTACGTGTTTGACATGTCAGCGTGCTCTCTTATGCTTTTGAGGTGGAAGCTTACCTGTCTTTTCATTTTCCGACACTGCCCCTTCCATTGTAGCTTTGTCTTTTATTTTATTTTTTTCTTAATTAAAAGATGTTACCACATCTATTGGTTATGATTTCCTTTTAGAATTATAAATTGGTGGTGGAAAACAGAGATATTATGTTGTTTTTTCCTTTATACCTTTCTGCGCAGAAAGGAATATTGTTAATTGTTTTGACAACAATCTTTCTCTCAGTTATTATCCGATGAAACTCTCCACGTGATTGCACGAATATATTTCACAAGTTTTTTTCTTTATCAGAAAGCACAATGTTATTGCACCAAGATTTTCCCACTCACTATTATCTGCACTGAAGCTTCAGTGGGTATTCTGGATTTTTCTTGCCTAACAAAAGAAATGTTTGGTTATGTCTATTCAATTTTGTTTGCTTTTTGGGCAGAGAGAATTCAATTCTCTCTCTTCAATCCCTTTCCATGTAACTTTAATAATTAAATCGCACAATTTAATGCCGCAGTACATGGTTATTATTATTAATGAAAATAATAATTATCGTTGTAGCTTATTACTAAAATTTTGCAGTGGATAGGTAGCTGCTAAATGACAAAGTTCAACCCTAGGGTCTTGAACTACCAAGACAAAATTGAAAGACTACCTTAAATGAAAGTGGAAAATGCAAACAAGTTAAACAATCCTGTTTGACTAGTGGAACAAGAGGGTTTTTCCTTTGGTTGAGTACTTTGAAGTTTGCCACTGTTTTAAGGTATGTCTTAACAGAAAATGAGATTTTGAGCTCATGAGAAAGCTCCTCTTTAACTAATTGGAGACATGCATACAAAGCTTGTTGTGTATGATGGCATGTGAGTGATGGAGTAATAAAAGAGAAGAAGAAGGGCATTTAGAGTGAAAGTTGGTTGGGTTGAAAGGAAGGAAAAAGAAAGGCAATAAAGGGAAGTAGGTGGCAGTGGTGGGTGGTGCAATTAAAGAAAAGAGAGAAGATGGTGGGGGATGAATGGTCTGGAGCAGTGGAATGAGCAAGAGTGTGCAGAAATGAAAGATGAAGAGATCTTTTCATGCTTTCATAAATTTCATTTGGCAAGCACAGGTGCCTTGTTGCTCTTTCTCACCACGCAACTACAGTTCCAGCTCAGTTTCACATTTATCAGACTTGGTCCTAAATTTCCTCCAACATCGCAAAAGTAGCCTTTAATTTGACCATCCACTAAGGATAGAGTATGTTGAAAATATGAAAAATTCTTCTATCTTTATCCTTGGTTAAAAAAATAATAAAAAATTGAGAATGATAAAGAAATAAAAATACAATCAAACTCATTAGATTTTCTTTTTACTTTATTTCTTCAGTTTATAGATCGGTAAACAAAAATAGATAAACAAATAGAGAAACGTAGAGTATATTTGCATATAAGTGGGAACCACATTATAAATTATAAGTTTGAAGTTTTTAAGAAGAAAAAAAGGACAGAGATAACATTTTAATAAGAGAATTTGTATTGATTTTTTTCGATTTTGTTCTGTCTTACAATATTACAAACATCCCCTATTTATAACAAAAGCAAACAAACAGAATTTAAAACTTCGCTTGACTAGAATGAAATTCGAACCAAAAACTTATGTTACAAGGTAAAATCTAAATTAAAATAATAAAACTACGGTCATACATCATAATAGTCTTATAAAGGACAAAATACATATAAGGTGTTATAAATAATATATTTTTATAAAATTATTTAAATATAATTTTTTAAGTCTATTTATTTATTTGATTTAAGTTGTTTATTATTCTTAATATAGTTTTTTTCTTATTCTTTTCCTTTTCATTTTATCTTATTCTTCAATTAAAAATAATATATTAAAATTTGATAATGAAAATCTTTTATTATTATTAAAAAATAATAATATTTAAATGATTCAAAAATGTTATCATTTAATATATTATATTTTAAATAAAATATATGATACATTTTAGATATTATAAATATTATTGATACGTTATAATTATTAAAAAATAAATATTTATTTTAAAATATTTTTTAAAAATTATCTAATCTAACTAATTATTATAATTTTTAATTTAATTATAATTAGGTTAAATTATTAAATAAAAAATATATTTAATTTATAAATATTTGATATTTTTTAATTAAATGAGTATTTATTTATTATGGTAAAATAATTTTAAATTAATTAATTATATCATCATAAATAAAATTAGTTATCGTCATCATAATTTTAAATAATTTGTTTTATTTTTATTTTTAAATATTATTTAAAAATATGTGTTTTAACATATTTTTATTAAATTTTAATATAGTAACTTAATTAGGAAAATAAGTATGAAGAAAAATAGGAAATAAATAAAGAAAAATAAAAAAATAATGAAAAGAAAAAAGAAAAATTACATATAAATAGTGAAAAAGTCTATTTTAATCAATCCATACAAATTCTATGTGAGTAATTTTTCTAATCATAAAAGATCTTAAATTTTAACTTAAACAGATTTGTTTAAAATAAATCTTGTTAAGATTAACTTAGGATCAAAATTATTTAAGATAAGGTTGAATTAATTTAAAAAAAAATATGTTTTTAATATTCAAAAATAATTTTTATTCATTATTATATTTAACTATTGATTTTAGAATTAAATAATATATTATTAATAAAATATTAAAAATAAATAAAGTATCAATCTCAAGACTATTTTTAAAATTATAAAAGTATTTAACTATAATATATATATATATATATATATATATATATATATATATATATATACATTCTACTTTGAATTCTAAAATCTTATTTTTAATGGTGAATTTTTATTTTAACAAAAATATATTTATATTAATCCTTAGCGATTTTATATCCAATATATTTTCAGAATTAAATAATAAAAATAAAATTGTTCATGAATAAAAATATTAACAATTAAAGAAATATTTTAAATATTATTTCATAGATTTTTTATATTTTTCATTTAAATTTATTGAATAAAGTTATTTTTAGATAGATTAATTTTATTTGTACTAATGCTTTAGGATGTATTTTTATTTAAATTACATTTTAGAATAATTTTTTATTTTGATTTTTAATTCACTGAATAAGTTTTAAATAATTAAATTTTACACAAATAAGAATCAAAACATTTCTATTAGTATTTGTGAATATTAGACAAATGTATTTTAATGAGCATATGAAACATGTGGATGAACAAAGTGAGAAGGTGGTGAAAGGTAATAGCAAAGTTTATTGGGAGGTGAGGGAGAGTGATAATCCTTTAAAATTTTGTAATTTAGATTAGTATTCATAATTTTGTAAGGAATATGGAATCCATTAAGAGTGACCTACTGCACCATACTTCTCTTGAAATCTAATAAAACAATCCTCAACACAAACACCACAGTACTTCATTCATATATTCATTTTTTGGTTTAAAACTTAGTTGAATTAAAAAAAATCTAAGTCAATTGATATATATGGACACCATATATATTTTTTGGCACTGTGGTTGACTCCAATGTCCAATGCCTCTGCTCTGGCTCTTATTCTGCAACCAACACAATACGACACTCAACTCAATTCTTATTTTTCATTTCTTCAGTTACTTCTGCCATGGGAGCAGGTATCCATCATGTGGATTTTCGGTGCTAATAAACTTGTTATTTATTAATTAACAATTATGCTAGAATTATATGCTGAAATTAAGAGAAACTAAATTTATCTTTACAAATAATTTTCGCAACTCTCATATACTCATATATATATATATATATATATATATATATATATATATATATATATATATATATATATTAAGATTTGTAAAGATTCAGAAGAATCCAAGAAAAATCAAACATAATTAAAAAAAGAAATCAACTAAAAAAAACACAAAAATTTATACTGATTCACCCAAATTATTAGACTATGTCTAGTGCTTAACCAATTTTTAGTTAAGTTTTCCTAGATTGAATATGTTTGATTACATGATCAAATTACAAAATACTCAATCTACACCAAATCCAAATTTTAGTTCTTTAATCGTACTCACAACCAAATTTGAGTTGCAGTGCTCAATCTTTCAAATAATTGAAAAAATAAAAGAAACTTAAATTTTTAAACGAGGTTATGTAAATGCAGAATTTCAACTGTAAAATGAGTTTCTTCACAAACAAAAACAAAAAATGACTAAAGAAAGAATTCTAAAATTTCTTACTAGAAATAATTTGTTTATCTCTTAAAAAAATATCTAAAGATTGTTTGATTTGATTTCTCAAAACAACAATTTTCTCTCTTGAAAATATCTCTAAAGATGATTTGATTTGTTAAAATTATGTTTTAAAACATTGAAACAAATATTTTTATATAGAGATTTTTCTACCTAATTGATATAATTAATCGACTAATTCACTTTTAGTAGATTAAAATAACTTAACTTCAACAATTTTAACCGAAAAAAATATAATTTAATCGATTAAAATGTTCTACAATATTATTTTTTTAAGATATTTTAATTGATAAAAAAATGGTTTAATCGATTAAAATATTTATGTAAAATTTGTTTAATTGATTTTAATTAATTAATTCGAAGTTATATTGATTAAAATATTGATAAAAGATTTTTTTAAACTTTATAAGTATTTTTAATTGATTAATTCGAATTTATATCAATTAAAATACTTACATAATCTTTTTAAAAAACTTATCAAATGAAACTAATTAATTAATTTAAAAATTTAAAGATATATCGATTAAAATTAGGATAAAAATATTTTTATTTAGTTTAAGTTGTTTTAATCTATTATTTTGAAAATATAGAAGTTATTTTTAAATATTAAAATAATTTGAGAATTAGTCAATATTGATGCACACATTTCCTAATTTTTATTATCTTCGTCAAATCTTCATGATATCTAATATTTCTTCAACTTCCTCAAATTACAAATTGATGAGGCTGAATTGCAAAGCATGTGTAGAGCACATCAACTGACAATGACAAGTAATGAATGTTGCAATGGAATGAAGAAGGGATTGTTGGTTAGTTTGGTTTGATTCACGCAAAACTGTTGAAGGAACAGAGAAGCAAATGTCTTGGGGGGAAGGGAAGGGAGACAAAATCCGAAGAATGTCAATGGATGAGAGATGATGGCAAAAAGACCAAGCAGTAAACGACGAAATGGTGGTGGCCTTAAGGGCCTTTGGATGAATAAAAAAATTAGGAATTTTCAAAAATCAAAGTGGAAGAGAATCTCACAGTGACAGATTTGAGTAGAGTTTGTGTGCATTGGTCAATCCTTACATGAGTTGCAGGCTTTACAGCAATGCAATTTCTCCTCAAGCTTTCTCCTTTATCTATCCATTCATTCTATCATTGTCAAAACCAACAGCCCTTTTTCTTTTCACTTTCATCTTTTTCTTCCCAAGCTTTTGCTTTATCCATTTCATGTCTTAGAATGAGTTCCGTGTCACCCTCTCAACCCTAAAAAACCAAAATTTCATATTTACATGACTTGAAAATAAGCAAAACAAAATTGTTAATCAACGACTGAGGTTGACGGTTGTAATTCTTCCATATAGGTGACGACAGATCCACGTGTTTGTACGTTTTTGCGTTTTTGGTACTTATTATTCAGGACCACTTTAACAATTATTTTCTCTAATATTGGTGTTCACTAATTCAAATTTTTTTTTTCATCATTTCACCGGAAAACAGTTAATAATCGAAGCACACACTGAAAACATGTTCATAATTTATCATTTGCCTTGGTCTTTTGTGTTAATCTCTATCTTTTCTTCGTTTTGGGTCTCTTCTAGTGTTGATTCTTTACTTTTCTTCATTATCGCTTAGGTCCGATGTGACAAGCCTTCGGCCCATGCAATCAGTTATTGGGCCTAGTGACATTCCAGCAGGCCCATAGTGGAAATAGCGACACGACACCGTTTTCCACAGCGAACAAAATCCTAGAACGACAAGGATGTCAGCGAAATCGGACAGAAACCTATACCTAAACCTGCGTGCAAAGTTGAGTTTACAGTGAAGTGAGTTAGTGGAGAAAATTGAAGCTGAAACGATAATAGGTAGTAACAGCACCATTCTTCACTTGTCAGACATGTCTTCCGTTGGCAGTAGAAAGAAATCAGTGGTTTTGGCTCTCTGCAAGTACCTTTCATTGGATCCTGTAAGTGCATGCTTTAGTCCATTTTTTTCTTTCCAATTTGTTATGTTTCAATTGATCACTTCAAAACTTATGCCAGATTTAGCTGAGTATGATTAGCATGATAAATATGATGATGCAAATTCTGAAGCTGTATCTTTGCTTGCAGAGTGTTGTTCCAGCTCATAGTTTAGGCAGTGATATTAAGAGTCTTTACTTGAACATCACAGCGGCATCTGGACATGGGGTTAATCAGTCCGATGAGGTAACCTGGCTTTAACTCACTTTGATTAGGTCGTTGATATCATTAGTGCCACATGCTTCTGCTTCCTTGCTTATTCCCTCCTCCTTTGGGTCTGTATTGTTAGTAAAGTGCACGTGGTTAAGTGATGATCCATCAGCATTAACATCAAACGCTAATTGTGAAAACATAGATAACTTCAATAACTGACTATATGTTTAATTTTTTAATATAATGGGCATAAGTGGTTTTAGGATGATATATTTTGCTTGGGTTGCCTGAAAGAGTATTTCTTTTGTAAAATTGGAAAAAAAGGTTATGGAGTTATTTGTAGTAGTTGGTTTTGTATTTACATTAATCAATTGTTGGGTTTAAAATGGAAAACTAGGCTAGCTATAAAATATAAACTATTTAGCTTTTAATCATGAACTCTAAAATTTTGATTCTAATCGGAAAGATACTTCCTTTGTTGAGATTATAAACTTTGGTCATAGCCCAAATTGCTAAACACATTTGAATAATAACACCAACACTTATTTTCTTCTTCTATCAATCAGATTATGCAAACTTCTATAATTAATTCTTCCCATTGTGACACCCATTTCAATTTAAAATCTGTGGCTTATAGTAATCTTGGCACATCCTAATTACATTCGCTGCTGAATTAATCCTATGATAACCAATTTTACATAATTTTGAAACAAATGGGCCCTAGAATTTTTAAAAGAACTCTTTGCTTTAATCAAATGTTCCTTGAAAAAATTGATATGCTCCAGAACTTGTATTTTTGTTCTTTTCTTGTTAATTATTATCCTGAGTTATAACTTGTATGTGCTTCAAATTTAGGTGTTGGAGTGGGTAGCATTTGCAGAATCCTTCCCTGTGGCCCATGATGTATGCTTTGAGAATCTCAAGAGATTAAATGATGAACTGTCTGGAAAGTCTGTGCTTCTGGGCAATGGATTGAAACCCTCTGAAGCCGATGTTATAGTCTATTCCGTGATTCATTCTTCCCTGGTATGCACTGTCACATTCTTTGTACTCACTATGCTTTCAGAATAAAGAACTGCTTCCCCATCCCCTGAGAACTAAAATAATTGTTCAAACAGGATTTTTTGGTCTGTACTGCTCTTTCTTTCTTGTTTTGTTAGGATTTGTGCATTTAACATATATCAATCTGTATAATTGTATGAAGATTCTTGATTTGTGTTGAATATATATCTAGCATTTTGTCGTATCAATGTTATCTTAATCTTCTTTTGTACTAAAGAGTATAATTTAAAGATATATGTTTTAATTAGATATCTCTGGTTGCTTATTGCCAGATCAACTTTCCAGATACAAACAAAGAAAAACTGTCACATGTGTTGAGATGGATGGATTACATCCAGGTAATGCTGCACCTTAAGTGCACCTATGTTCATGGCTATTTATGTTTAAGATATTATACTATGTTGCCTCTCATGCATGACATTTTCTGTTTGGCGCTACTTCCACTATAAGTTTTAGGCATCTTCAGAATCTGTAGTTGGTTTAGATGAAAGCCATGTTAACCTTTCATTTCTAAACCAAATGGAAGAGATCATAAATTGAGTAGATTGTGTATTCGCTGAGGTGACACCTCCTTTGTATTATAAATCGATTCATTATTTTATATGCATTTTCATGCTTCCAACCTTGTTCCAATGGGAAATTAGTCGTGTAAGACCACAAGACCCCAATTTTAAATGGTTGAGATTCTTGCATCAAGTTTAAGCCCATTTCTAAATCATTATTTTGTCTTTAAGCAGATTACCAAGTTGACTCTATATCCAAGAAAGCTTCGTGGCATGTATTTATAATATCTTCTGAGTCTAGCAGTGTGTGGACTAGCTATGTTGAGTTTAGAAAAAGAAAAATTAAACATTTAATTGAGTTTTACACTAAACTTTTGTAACAAGACTAATTAATTGTTCTGCTTATGCTATTAGCATAAGCAAGAATTTGTAGGTTTGTTTGAGAAGATATTGTTGCAGAAGCCTGGATTTGAGCCTCCGGTGAGACATCATTCCTTTATTGATTTTTCATTTTCATCTTATGTACTAAGTTAAGGTAAGCCACAATGTTTTCAGTGAATCAGTGGTAGTTATTTTAGGCACCAAGTTGATGACATTTTTTGAAAAAAAAGTCAAGATTTAAACAAGTTAAATATATGCTTCTTGTTTTAAATAACAATTCATTAAAAAGAATTGAATACCAAATATCAAGTTAAAAATAGGTTAAGCTTTGTATAAATATTCCTTAAATGTTTTTATAACTAATTGGGACCAGTTCACAAAGAATCTTAATGGTGCTTGAGATGGTAGTCAACATTGTCCAACGATCACTGATGTTGCAGTCAATCCCTACCTAGACAATTTTGGTCCCAAAGAAACATTTTGAAGGACCAGGTAAATCTTTTTCTTTCATGGACTAAAATAAAAAAAAAATCACTTCTTTTTGGGGATTCTGTAATTATTATTTTTTCATGGTAAATTGATTACAATACAGACATCAATGGGTGCTTGTATCAAGTTCTGGATTTGTATGTGTTATTTTGATTAAATCTGGCCTGGTGCTGAAGGTCCTTCTATAGCTTTTGTCTTTTGGCATGCAGCGGCTAATGTCTAGTGTCTACTGCTAATAAGCTGTAGCTCAGAAGCAGTGTCAATAAAAAACCCCCAATGTCCACTTCAATGATGGTCTTTTCTTTTAACAGGATACTAGTATCATTGAAAAATTGTGAAAGCTGTGTGATCTTTGCAATGAACACTGTGAATATGCCTGCCAATTTGCCTTCAGAAGTTCTATTATGCACCCTAAGACAGGCATATGGAGATTTGTTATGCCTAATAGCTGCTTAGTTTTTCATTTCCATGCTTTTTTTTTTTTTCAGGTGACGAAACCTGTTGGATCTGCGGAAGCTGATTTAAAATCAAACAAGACGGAACAAAGCATGAAGAATGTTAACAAGTCAGAAACAGACTTAAGCAAGGACAAAAACAAAGCTGAGGTAAGCTAAACTACTTCTTTTGACAACGAAAAGTACTAATTCAATATATATATATATATATATATATATATATATATATGTATATTGCTTTTATTTTTTTCTACAGGAAAACTAAGCCTTTTCCGGAAGAAAATGTAGGTTAACCTGTATTATAATGTCACGAACATCTGTCTTTATCCATATTTCATAATGCATAATAATTTCTTTTTCTTAAATTTGAAAGTTGATCTTAGTTAAAACTCACAACAGTAAATTTCTACCAGAAAAATAAAAGAATTAGGAGAACGAAGAATACTAAATTGATTATAAATCGTAATTTAGGTTAACAGTTCTTCATGTACAAGATTGGAAATGGTGATTACTGGTATTTTTTTTACTCATTATTTGATTTTCGCTCAATGTTGATATTTATTTGGATAGAGCTACATATATGTTATACTGCATAAGATTGAGTGCTACTAATGCTGACTTTTATTACAAACTCCTTGACTTTTGTAATTACATCATAGTAAATTTTCTTCACGCTGGCTTTAAATTTCATTTGTTTTTGGCCATTAAGGGAAAGGCAAGTGGAGGAAAGTCAACAGGAGACAAAGAACCTACCAAATCAAAAGCAAAACCTGCTGAAAAAGAGGTGGCTGAGAAAGAGAATGAAGTTAGCGTCAGTTTGCTTAATATTCAAGTAGGATTAATTCGCAAAGCGTGGAAGCATCCTTCTGCAGATAGGTGCTTTGCCAAACTTAGAGAATGCTTTCTTAAATAAACATATTAAACTGGCAGTAACGGAGTATAATGCTTTTGTAGTTTTGATATGTTTGAGGTAAAATATTAATATCAATGAACTTAAATTATGCAGTTTGCTAGTTGAGGAGATAGATGTTGGGGAGGCCAAATTGAGGCAAGTTGTCAGTGGTTTGGCAAAGTACTGCAGTCCTGATGAGTTGACGGTAATGTATTTACTCAACTGAGTGAGATCATTAGTTGTATACATTTTGAAATTTAATTAACTCTCCCTTATGTTCCTGCCCTTTGATTTCACTACACAGAATCGTCGTGTTGCACTTATAACAAATGTTAAACCTGGAAAACTACGGGATGTGGTGTCCGAAGGACTGGTATGGATTGTCATACTTGTTGCATGTATTAAATAGTCTTGTAGTGTGTAGCTTATGATAGTCAATTTTTTATCTGTATTTGGCTCCTCTTGGCAGGTCTTATGTGCATCTAATGAAGGTCCTACTGTTGTGGAGCCCTTGCTCCCTCCAGAAGGAGCGAAAATTGGGGAGCGTATTTCTTTTTCTGGGTAAGCTGTTCAAAATCTTGTAGACGAGACAGTCTGTCTTATATTTTATGGTTGAGTGACTTGTTCTATCCTCCAAATAGAATTTTTAAAGTGACTTGTTCTATCCTCCAAATAGAATTTTTAAAGTGAGTATCACTATTGCATCCAACTATGTCTTAGCTGGTAGCTCAGAAGTTATAGTTTGCGGTGGTCTAGTCCCTTCCAAGTTTGGCTACTTTCAATAAGGGTAAAAACAGGCTGAGCTAAATTAGGATTTATAAGGCTCGAGGCTGACTTACTTTCTAAATCAAAGGTCCGAGACTTACCTGTATACTTGATATGGGGTTTTTTACGGTATGATTTGACCTTTAAAAGTTGGGCTTAACTTTGAAGTCTATATAAATTTCTACATTGTAGTGAAGATCTAGTAACTAAGTTTACATACTCTAAATAGGTTAATGAGTCTACTCTTTATACATAAGCTAGTGAATTTAATCCTCTTTAAATAGGCTAACAAGTATATAATTTAAAATTAGTATGGTAATAGTCTAATACAACAGTTATAAAAATAATATTATTATCATGGTATTGTTTTATTTATTGGAACTGGTTTGTTTGTTGAGCCATAAAGACTTTTTGAATGACCTTTTTGATTAAATAAGCTTTTAGAAAAGCTTTGATCTGACCTATTTAACAAATAGGCCTACCTAATTGGGCCCAATGTGGATTTAGGGACTAGACAATATTACCCTAACGTAAATAAGTTCCAAGTTCCGGATTCACTCTCCCAGGAGTTTTTCGGAAATATTTTAGAAGAGTAAATCTAGAACTTAAATCATATATGAAAAAAAATCATTTTCGGATTTAGTTTCCAAGAAACTTTACTGATTAATCTTTCCAGGATGGTAAGATTATATTCCGGATTTCATAATTCGAAATTTTAAAAAATTATATATTTTCGGATCCATTCATCCAAAAGCTTTTAGGATTTTTCAATCCAGAATACTCCATATTATGCTTTTGGATCACACATTCCATAAAACTAAGAGTATTATTGTCTTTTCAAATAAATATGGGAGTGCAGGAAGAAAGCATGGTGCCTGGAGGTAAAGGAAGAATGTGCCATTTTAGACCCCAGGCTCTCAAAAAGTGTTCTGACCTGTTTTTGCCCCTATTAGCAGGCTTACTCGCTATGGAACATCCCTATCCGACACAGGTTGGTGATGAACGGGTCAAATTGGGTTTGCCTTGCTTTTGAGTTTAGCCTCCAGGTTGACATGTGTGGGCTTGAGATTTTTTTCTAATTGAGTTAGTGAGAGTCTTAGATAAAAATTATTTTTTTTAAAATGTTTATCTATTTAGCAGGTGGGATTAGTGGGTCAGTACCTGTTAAACCTACGGATTAAGTGAATCAGATTCTAATGTTTAACCTGGTTCTAATGAACCCAAATGTATGCCTGTTCCTTATCCATGCTGGTCGTAAGCTAAAACTAGCCAGCGCTTTTTTTTTTCCATTTGATTTCTCATTCCCCTCAACTGAATCACTTTACTTTGAATTGATTCAAAGTATTTGCCAAGTAGAAAAGCAGAGACAAATTATGTTAGGGAACCCTTATGAGTTTTGCTATATCCTCTTCATATCATCATTTGCCAAGTATCTCATTACTTTGTAATCTACCAATATACCTCTCTCATAGGGTCTCGAGACATCACTTTAATGATCACGATAAGATCGAATTTAATGTAAGGATCACCGTGTCAGCCATCTGGCAAACTGAAGTATCAAACATTGGCGATTACGCTTTAGTTACAACTGTATAGCACTCACTATAAACTTTTCGTTCAAATTTTGGTTTGTAGCACTTGTTTTCTTGTGTTTTGTATATAATTCACTCGAGGTCATTAATTATCTATGCTTTGTCGTTCTAATTTAGGATTGAAGGAAAGCCAGAGGATGTGCTAAACCCAAAAAAGAAACAGCTGGAGAAGATTACACCGGTATTTTCCTTGCACTTGTTACCTTTGTGTTTCTAAACATACACTGTTTCATAGAGAGATTAGAGTGGGAAGGTAAGAAAATGAGAGGAAAGGAAACAATTTTTTCTGTTTAGTTGGAGAGAAAGTGAAAGTTTATTTCTAGAAACAAAATTTAAAACTTTTCTTTGAATTTAAATCTAAAATTTTCCCCTCTTTCCTCACTTTCCTTTCTCTCAACCAAACATAGGGAGTTAATTTTTTAAGTGAAAGTGATGATGTTCACCCGCTCATGATACTTGTCCATGCAGCATCTTTTCACTGATGACAAGGGGGTGGCCACATTCAAGGGAATACCATTTTTGACGTCTGGTGGACCATGCACATCATCCATTCCCAGAGCAACTATTAAATAGTGGAGAGATATGGCCCGTATTCATTGTTCATTTGTTCTTCACTGACAGATTTTTGGCACCACAAAATATTGGAAGTTTTGATGACGTGAATAAGACGTTACTATGGTATCTTATTGGGTAGTTATGTTGCACTTGCACTTGCGTGGTCTTAAAATGCTTCAAATATAATCGTGAATCCAATGATTCTTGAGTTAGTACTGTAGTAACTCTACATATTGTAAAAAAAACGAAACACTATTTCAAATTATACAACCTGCCAACCAAGCCATACTATGCAGGCCTTAAATGCGGCAATTATGATATCGAATCCAATGAGTGGAATTAATGCTACAATAACTATTGTACATTGGTAAAACAACACAAGACTGAAATCACTAGACAACTAGCTAGCCAATGATTATTACAATTCGTCACAAGTAAACAAGGAATGCATGAGTATATTTTTTGGCAGATGAATTTACCAAGATGAAAGAAAAGAATTAACTGCATGATTGAGATAATTTTTGTCAAGCTGGTGTGTATTGATAACTGGTCCATAGATTGAGGTAATTTTTTGTCAAGCTGGTGTGTATTGATAACTGGTACATAGATTGAGGTAATTTTTGTCAAGTTGATGTATTGATAACTAGTTATGGACAAAGGTATCTTTTACTTTCATTGAGACAAGGCATCTTTTACTTATCTTTCTTTTACTGAACTTCCGTTGCATTTCTTGAGGGGAGTGAAAATCTTTCTCAAAATTTTATGACATGAGATGAGATATCATGGTATTATTGATATATAATTGTATATGGTAGCTGTTACAAATGAAGATTGATGAAAACAGTATAAAAATAATATTGGAATAGAAGAAACATTAGTTCTCATTACTTGAATGAATGAAAAACAGCACTTATTATATACAAGCCATAGAAATGTTAACTGTCAAGAACCAAACAACAGAACTAACAAATATTACACCATGTACACAACAGTAACAATATATTTTCTAAATTATATATTAATTTAGACTGTCTTTCAAAGGCTGTATAATAAGTCTTTTATCAGATTAAGAAGTGTGACTAAGTGAAAGAATGGTGCTATTTCGCATGTTGTTTCCAAAAAGCTAATGATGCTTTTTGTTCATTTTAGATACTAACTTAATAAAAAAAATTAATATAGTAATTTTTTATACTCGTTGGTAAGTTATTTTCTAAAAACTATTTGTTAGTCATGTTCTTGAACTATCTGTGAATTACTAAATGGATGCTTAATTTCTTCTATCTTTTTCATGTATTTATTTTTTGATTGAGTTTCCGGAGTTTCCGGACTTTCTTCTATCAAAATATATGACATTTTGTTGAAAAATATGGGATAGTTTGAAAAGTTTAAGATGGTACTAATTATTTTGTATTGATTATATTTTTGTTTTTTTAATTATATTTATTGTATAGATAAGATAACAAGTTATTAAGGGTGATTCTGAACAGAGAAGATGATATGGATATTAATTAAAAAACACTAATAAATTTATTTAAAATATTTTTTTTAAATATTCGTAGTACAACCTTAAATATTATATATTTTAAAACAGAGAAAGTATCTTTTTAATTTAAGACCAAATTAAAAATGAATCAATTTGTATATATATATATATATATATATATATATATATATATATATATATATATATATATATATATATATATATATATATATATATATAAATTGGAGTAAAAACATATATTATATAAAAAGTCAACATTGTAAAAAACATCACTTTAAAGTTATGTTTCAAAATTATTCTAAATTACTAAAATTAAATTGTTTATTAAATATAATGATTAAAGTCAAATAACTATTTTTTTGAATAGAAACGTTAAAAACTAAAAAATAAACTATTTATTAAAAAAATTATTAAAATGCATAACCTAAAATGAATTTAATTGTTACGTACTGTAGACATTTTTATATTCAATTAATCCAAAACCATTCTTCTTATAAAATTTTACTTGAATTAAATGTCTTATCCTATTCTTTTCATTAAAATTGGTTTTGGTTAGTTAATTAATTAGTCATCAAACTTAAAAAAAAAAGAATTTAGTTCTTTTATTAGTTATTACAGAAAAAATGTTATTAAATAATAAATTTCAATATAATGAGGAAAAAAGTTCTATATTATCAAAGTTTAGTTATTCTATCAATTTTATGATGAAAAAATTAATACAAATATAATATTTAAATATAACATAAAAATTTAGTTATTCTATCAATTTTATGATGAAAAAATTAATACAAATATAATATTTAAATATAACAAACACTAAAATCACACATTTTTAAAAGTTAAAATATTAAATTTATTTCAAATATTAAAAAATATAATGAGTAAAAATATTATTTTTATATTATTATTATTATTATAAAAATAAAAAATAAAATTGTGATTATATGATCAAGGAGGTTTAAGGAAATATATTTGTATAAAATTATTTTATATGGTGAATGATAATCAAATTTTTTTCCTTCAAAATAACAGATTTATATATAATTCTTTGTCCTTGTATTGTATGATAAATAATATTTTTATAACAGTTAAAGAGTGGCATGGGTGCCGTACATTGGTAATGGATGTGGGAAAAAGAAAAACCGTGAATTTGTTATGACTGTGAGTGAATGACATTTCTTTTCTTGGCGAATCTCTGTGACAAGTACTTCACCACCTTTCACTATTACCTCGCTTGCAGGTTGACCATGTCTGACTCATATCACCCTTTCTTCTTCGCCTCTTCATGTCTTTCCAGATTTAGAAATAAAAAGCCACCATTTCTGAGTCTGGTTGGTGCTGTGCTGTAGTCTACCTCAACCCACCAAACATTCAAGATTCCATCAAAAGTAAAATGTGTTTAGATAAACACCAAATCCATCACTCTTGTCATCATCTACATCTACTGTTTAATCCACTCTGCTCAATATGGTTCTCAGTATTTTCTAGTTTAAAGGGTCTTTGAATACTCACCATTTTTCATTAAAAATACTATTTTTTTCATTACATATTTCTCTTGTATTTTGACTATCTGCATGAGAACTCTAAGAAACGAACTCTTCTTTACTGATATTGATGAGAGAACACACAGAAAAGATAACACAAACTGTAGACTGTGAAAAAAACCTCAGAATTAACATTTAACATGGTTTGCCACTTTTTTGTCCATAAAATATTTCGATATTAAACTTTCATTTCTCGATTCAGATATCAGTTTTTTGGACAGTCTTCAAATTATAAGTTTTTTTTAAAAAAAAAAAAAACTTGATTTATAACAAGTTTTCTGTTACAAATTTTAGGAATTTTTCATCATAAATTTTCTGAACAAACATGAGCGATCTCTACCCTTTAAATGACAAAAAGAACATATGACAATATTGATTTTGTAGAAAATAGTTCATAAGGGGAAATAAGATGGACAAAAAGCTTATTAAACATATAACTTGATAACTTCTAATTAAAAGTTTCAAAATTTTGCTAATGGAAAAAAAGAGAAGCTTTTTCCTACAAAAGAGGTCTTTTTATTTCTGAAAATGATGAGAGTTGGGAAGAAAAACAAAAATGAAAAGAGAAACGTATATAATTTTAGAATCAATGACTTGAATTCCAACAAAAATCATTCTTATATAACCAAACTCTACCAACCAATAGACACAGTTGTTATATATCTTACCACAACATGTGCTTCCAGAGCCAAAAGATACGATGTTCCAATCTCTTGAAAGGAGATATATTACGTAAGCAATTATCCTACAGACTGATGGATGGTGTTCTTGACCAGATCAATACCAATCTTTGAGACAATTGTAAACCAGTTTACGAAAAATAAATAAGAAATGTAATGTCTTTTTTTTCCACAATAAGATATTGCGAATAAGATTATCATCTGATTCGAAATTAAAAAAAAAATAAAGTTAATTTCATATGTAATGAGAGAAATAATTTGCAAATCTCACATTAATTTGTTCTATTCTTTTCTATTTTCTTCAACATTTTCTTTGATGAGAGAGAAAAATAAAATAAAAGAAGAAAACTCATCATCTGTATCTGCCCCTACACTCTGGATTGTGATAAGATGGGACCATGAGGTAAAGTAAATTTGGCCAAGTCAAAACCAAGTTTCCAATACTTCTTTTTAATCTTTTATATATATATATATATATATATATATATATATATATATATATATATATATATATATATATAGCACTGACAAGTTGAAGGACTCTTATGAATATAGAAAGAACATCTAGATTCTGTTAGACTGTAACCAGCACCACCTTGTATCTTTGACGACACAATCACAAGTTCACATTGGATTTCATTTCTGCATCCTAAGATGTGATCATATTTCCGTGTGGGTTAAACAGTCAGTTGAATAACCCCACTTAAAAAATAAAAACAAAAAAAGGAAAAAGATTCAAAATTTTATTCATCAGTGCACGATTTGTTACCATCATAAAAAATCCGTCTCAAAATGAAACTTTTGATATGCATAGATTTTATCCAGATGGTGGAAGCAAGTTGAGACGTTGGACAGATTCTATAGGAGAAACATGAAAACATCGATCAAATAAATCACATGTCTCGAAACAGTTTGATTTAAGGTACGGATGGTGCAATCCAATCATATCAAAGTAGCACAAGTCATTTCTACATCTTAATTCATTGCTGGTATTTTCCTCCCTTCCCAGATTCCACTTTTCTTTGTTTTCTGACTTGTGGATTTGTTTCTGCATGTATTTGTTATTTTTAGTTGACTTTTGGGCTATCAGAAAAAAAAGTGAGTTTTGATCTCACATGATTGATTCCATGAATATTGTTTTCGTGAAATTCTGATGAACTTCATGAATGAGGTAATCAATTACTGGGATAACTCATCAGCTGTTGAAGACTATTAAAAATATTTTAAAATACGACGAAATTTCACATCAATAATAATATATTATATTATTTTAATTATTTTTATAAGATT